AAAAAACAGAAACAAAAAACAGAAAAGAAAAGAACAAAACAAAACAAAAGAAAAAGAAAAACAAAACAAAAAACAGAAAACAAAAGAAAAACAAAAAACAGAAGAGGAGAACAAAACAAAACAAAATAAAACAAAAAAACACAAACAAAAAACCGAAAAGAAAAGAACAAAACAAAATAAAAACATAACACAAACAAAAAACCGAAAAGAAAAGAACAAGACAAAATAAAACAAAACACAAACAAAAAACAGAATGGAACAAAAAAAAAAACAAAAAAAAAACTGAACAAAACAAAACAAAAAAAAAACTGAACAAAACATAACAGAAAAGAACAAATCAAAAAAGTCAGTCACCACATTCAGTATAATTAAGGTGAAGTTAATCTCATCTGTGTGATGTACCCCAGCCACTGAATCAATGAAACGAACAGTAACTTTGGACGGATCAGTCCAGACAGAACCGCAGAGGATGTAAACAAACACAGTTCCAGTCCTCATTTGTTTGTTCACCCCTCTCAGGTCATGTTTATAGTTTGTTTTTGAGTAAATCTTTAGATTAAAATGTTACCCTGAGTTTAAATGTTAGTTTTACTTTTCTCTGTTCAGGCTGGATCAAGTGTTTTACTTTTTTTTCCAACTAGAAACCTAACAGATTCCTGTTTTGTTTTATTTTATAAATATGTCCAAGTTTAATAATGTGAGATAAATCCACAACTTTCTGTTTATTCAGTCAGTGTTTAATACAGCTGGCACAATCAATTCAATAAAATATAATTCTGTACTTTTTATTTAGTGTGTAAAAAATAATAGCCCTTCATGTCACAGAAAGACCCTTAAGAGAAATGTCAGGTTTTTAGGAAAATGGCCAATTATCAATTAATCGTTGGTCGATCGATAAAATCAATCAACTTTAGATCAATCCATTAATCGATAACGTGCATCCCTAAACCTGATCAGTTTTAATGACTGAACTGATGTTCAAAAATCCATTTTTTAAACTGTCTGTGAACGCACCACAAACAAGCTTTAAGCAGGTTTGTCCTGGAAAACCCAAAGTTGTTTTATAAAATCTGTCAAAGGAACAGGACAGTGTTTGTGTCAGAAAACAGGATTTACAACAATAAAAGCATGAGATTATTGTTTGATCCGTCTGCAGGCGTCACCTTCAGAACATCAGTGGGGTTGGCCAGGGTGGAGGACAGAACTCCAGAGACGACACCACAGAACACGTTGATGACCATCGTCTCATCTGTCACAAACATTAAAATAAAAACATCATCCAGGTCAGCCATTTACAGAGTGCAACAGGTGCTGCAAATACTAAGAGTTTAACAAGTTCACCAAGAGAAATACTGCAGTGTTGCTGCATCGTCCTGTACATTTAATTTGTTTTATTTTCTGAGAGGGAAACTAAATAAAATGTCTAAATGAACATAAACCAAGCCTCTCTGTTATTAAAACACATTTTTACAGCTTTTAGTTTTAGCTGTGTCCTAAATGRTGAGGTGTTGTTGTGAAACAGCAGAATCAGGAAACATCAGCCTGATGCAGYGTGGAGGCAGCCTGACTCATCATCATCACCATCCTTCTTTTGTTGCTTTCACATCACTCTACATTTCCTTTCTACAAGCTTTTCACTTAAATCACTGTGTGCTGCTTCGTTTCCTGCCTGTGCTTCATGATAAACTAAAATAAAGGATGACGAGTCACAGATTCTGCTGAGAATAAAACGATTTYATGAAAATATTCTGAAAAACAACCAGATTGAGTCAGTTTGACTGAAACACAGAAGAAGTGGTCCAACCTGTGCTCTGTCTCTGATGTCACTTCCTGTTGTGTCTCGACTCAGCTCACCTGTTGGAAATAAAAGGCTCACCTTCTGGGCGGCTGACAAACAGCCTCTTCAGGGAGTTGTACGTCCCGATCTTGATTGTCCCGTAAGACGCTTGTCTCAGAAGTGCTGGAGAAATCCTGCAGACAAGTCAAAAAACATTTAAACAAAACGTTTGTTGATCCACTGACTTTCCTTGAACCTATAGTTCAGACACAGAGTGTGAGGTTCTGTTTGGTACCCRGAGTAGAGTGCTCGGACCCCCTCCTCCCTGCCGATCCTGAAGAGAGCGTGGAACATGCCCCGGTAGCGAACCTCCATGTACTGGGACTGACCCTGSACCTGCAGCCGGGTCTTGGTCAGGTCTATAGGGAATGTTCCTAAGATCAAAATCAACAACAAAAACTAAATTAAATACAGCAGGTAAAATAAGTATTGAACACGTCACCATTTTTCTCAGTAAATATATTACTAGAGGTGCTAATGACATGAAATTTTCACCAGATGTTGGTAACAACCCAAGTGATCCATACATACAAAGAAATCAAACCATAAATGTCCAGAAATGAAGTTATTTGTAATAATGTGGAATGGCACAGGGAAAAGTATTGAACACATGAAGAAAGGGAGGTGTAAAAAGGCATGGAAAGACAAGACACCAGCTGAACTCTCTCAGTAATTAGAAAGCAAGCCTGCCCCTTGTCAGTGCAAGTTAATATCAGCTGGTTCAGTCCCAAATGATGGCCAGGTATCACACAAGAACCATCTGATGATGGGTAAAAGTAAAGAGCTCTCTCAAGACCTTCACAACCTTATTGTTGCAAAGCATAATGATGGCATCGGTTACAGAAGAATGTCTAAACTTCTGAAGGTTCCAGTGAGCACTGTTGGGACCATAATTCAGAAGTGGAAAGAACATCATTTCACCATAAACCGACCACGACCAGGTGCTCCTCACAAGATTTCTGACAGAGGAGTGAAAAGAATTATCAGAAGAGTTGTCCAAGAGCCAAGGACCACTTGTGGAGAGCTTCAGAAAGACCTGGAATTAGCAGGTACGWTTGTTTCAAAGAAAACAATAAGTAATGCACTGAACCACCATGGCCTGTATGCACGCTCACCACGCAAGACTCCACTGCTGAAGAAACAGCATGTTGAAGCTCCTTTAAAGTTTGCTGCACAACATTTAAACAAGCCTGTGTAATACTGGGAGAATATAGTCTGGTCAGATGAGACCAACATTGAACTGTTTGGATGCCAGAATACACATCATGTTTGGAGGTCAAATGGCACTGCACATCAGCCCAAAAACACCATACCAACAGTGAAGTTTGGAGGTGGGAACATCATGGTGTGGGGCTGTTTTTCAGCATATGGTACTGGCAAACTTCAAATAATTGAAGGAAGGATGAGTGGAAAAATGTACAGAGACATTCTTGATAAAAATCTGCTTCCATCTACCAGGATGATGAAGATGAAACGTGGCTGGACATTTCAGCAAGACAATGAGCCCAAACACAAAGCCAAGGAAACTCTCAGTTGGTTTCAGAGAAAGAAACTAAAGCTGCTGGAATGGCCCAGCCAATCACCTGACCTGAATCCAACAGAAAATCTATGGAAAGAACTAAAGATCAGAGTTCATAGAAGAGGTCCACGAAACCTTCAAGATTTGAAGACTGTTTGTGTGGAAGAATGGGCCAAAATCACACCTGAGCAATGCATGCCACTAGTTTCTCCATACAGGAGGCGTCTTGAAGCTGTCATTGACAACAAAGGCTTTTGTTCAAAGTATTAGATAAATTTCAGTAAGTGTGTTCAATACTTTTTCCCTGTGTCATTCCACATTATTACAAATAACTTTATTTCTGGACATTTATGGTTTGATTTCTTTGTATGTATGGATCACTTGGGTTGTTACCAACATCTGGTGAAAATTTCATGTCATTAGCACCTCTAGTAATATATTTACTGAGAAAAATGGTGACGTGCTCAACACTTATTTTACCCGCTGTAAATAAAACTGTCAGCACTGACAGTGTCATCTTTATTTACAGTAAATCTTCTGCTGCAGAGGTTTCAAAAATATCCAGCAGTTGTTTTTTTTGTTTACAATCAGATAAGTGAAGCTTTGTGGGTAAAACCAGTGGATCTCATCTGACAGAGCAAACTGAGACCAACTGCCACTCTACTCTTAATTAATTGTATAAAAATAGATTCAACAGAAGAGGACCCAGAATCAGTCTTTGTGGAACTCCGTGTGTTGATTTTAATTCATGTTTATCAACAACCATCTTGTCTGGTTTGTTTGTTGTTGTTGTTGTTGACAGCTGGTGCTGAGTTGTTTCACGTGTTTTTTGTGCCTCGTCACGAGGAAAAATCCAGCGAGGGGCYCCTCCGACGCTCCAGAGATGAGGTGGAGGTGCAGAGAAACATATCCATGAGTGGGAGTTTTATGGATCAGAACCAGGACCTGACCTGGTCTGGCCTTCCTGCCCAGTCTATTTCTGGGTCCCCCTCACTTCTTAAAAATAGCCCCAACTTTTCACCAGCAAAGGAAAAGTAAACAAGACAGGGGGGCCTTTTTGAAACAATACAAGATGCCCTCAGCGGCTGAGCAGTGTTGAATTTCTGACTTCAACTGTGCACATCTTCTGTTGCAGGATAATTCCTAGAATCTGCTCCAGATAGCTTTATTATTAATTCAGCTGCATGCTTCAGCTCCCTGTTCAAAGCACYAGCACTCAGCAGCTGCTGCAGCACAGTGTTCACACTGCTGCRAATTCTGCTAAGATTTAAAGCTGGTGACACAAATACCAGTTTCCATGAAAGAAACAAGTCCTAACAGTATATAATATCCCCTAAAACATACATATTACTCAGAGTCTGTGTATTTTGGTGCATCACGTACCGAATTCTGCGACAATCGAGGCCATCCCTCCGTAGATGAACGGCTTCCAGTTCATGTTGGTTATCTCCGTGTCGGCGGCGGCTGCTTCCACCTGCTGCAGCCCCGCTAAGAACAGGAACAGACCCAGACATAGGTCAACGCAATGCTGCAACCTCTGACAGGACAGCTGGTAAGATATCATTTCGGCAAACATTGAGSTCTGATGATGCTACACATCTACAAGGCTCCTCAGCATCAGCATCTCCCAGCTCACTGCGCCGGAAAGAGACGGTCCCCGCAGGAGACTACCGCAAGGAGAGCCGTCATGTTTGTCCTCGGCTTCCTATTGGCTGCGCGTTAAGTCAATCAAACTTTCAGGCGATCCTATTGGCTGGGCGGAGACGAAGTTGGTGATGGGTCATGATAGCAACAGTGTCACGAGACAAGTTATTCATCATCAAAGCCAATTAACATGACTAAAACCCGGCTTTTACGTACAGAACGTAAACATTTAAGGCTAACATATTGTTTGCATAAAATAAAATAGTACGTTTTAATAGTGTTTCATATAGATTTCTCAACAGTTTGATTGCTAATAGGCTAATGGCCACTTAGCTCATTACTTCTGGAAACAACTAGCCCGCTAGTTAGCCCAGAGGTTACCGGCTGGCCTTTACGGATTCTTTAAAATAATTAAAATATAACTTACCTGTCGAGTTGACCGAGTCTTCAGTTTATTTGTTTTTATGTTCAGTGACTATATGCATCATTGTGCTCTGGCTTTAATAAAATCCTGAGCGSGAAACTTCTCCTCTGCTGTTAGCTTTCCATTGCAGCTAAAGTCAAGCTAGCCAGCCAATGAAGAGACGGACTTCCGTTTTTCAAAATAAAACTTCCTGGCTAACAACGAAGGTCATTCGGTTCATTAAAAAATTCCAATAAAACATTTTATTGAACAAATGTCATTTTATTTAAAATAAATTTGCTTAGAGAAAATATGGTCACACGTTTTATAAATATACATACAAAACCAGGATGTTTTAAGCAATTTTCAGTTTAGTCTTAATTCACAACCTAACAATATGTGATAATATTGATAATAAATAAAATGAAAAATGCTCATGTTCACCTCTTAAATACAGAGTTTTTCTTGTTTGTTTTTGTGACCATACTACATTTTTTCAGTTAAGCCAGTCTGCATCATTTTTCTTCACATTACACATCCCTGTTTTCACTTCCTCCCATCGTCTGATGATATTTCAGCTCCTTTAAACATTTATGTTAGTTTTCACCACAAGGTACATCATCAGTTTAAAAAAAAAAAACTTAAAATCTTGTTTCAACAATCATCAAAAATGGTGAAGAATTTCAAACAATTTTTTTTGGCAGTGAAATGCATTCAGCTGACTTCTCACACAGAGAACACCGACAACTTTAATTTTAATGAGCAGGAAAATTAACTTATTATTTACTCTTTGCTTTGAAATATGTTTAAAGATGAGCAGAGGTGAACACTGATGGGCCAGAGAGGTGAAAACCATGTTCCTTGTTGTTGTCAGTTCATTTGTTCTCCTGGGAGGGATCAGACATATTTAATGAGAAGGTCAAAGGTCAATCGTCCAAACAGGAAGTGGCGTCACATCAGAGCGTGGTTTTAAACATGCGAATGACTCGCTGGTAAAGTTGCTGGAAAATGGACCCAAAATTCCTGGAAGATGAAAAGAAACAGTTCTCAAATATATATAT